GAGCAGGGAAGGTAATTGCAAAGATCTCATCACATGTTCTGTGATGGCAAACCGGTTTCTTCCATCACAGGCAAATGGCTGTCTGCAACATCAGCTCAGATTTGCAGGCTGCAGCTGGATTCTCCATTACATTTTTGTTGGGCACAACACTCCTCCAGATGCCTTTTTAGAAGAACTGTCCTGGTTTCTGAAGATTATAAGTCTTTAGTGTTAAGGAACAGAAGGTTTGCAACTGAAATGCTGATGGGGACAGTATATTTATCTCTTGGTCTGTTACTTTGATGTTGGTACCTAAACCTCACTACAATCATTTGTTTCTGCTGCAGGTGAATGCAGCCCCTTTTTCTGAGATTCTTGCTAGTCATTGTTTTGACAGTATCACTGTCAGCCTCTAGTTTCTCAAAACCTTTGATGTAATGAGATTTGTGGATGTAAGTAAAATTCACCACCCGTTCGCCTACTCTTGCTGGTCATCTGGCTGGTTTTGTTTGCCTTGAGTTCAGGGAGCAAATACCTGGAGTTCGATTCAGCTCTGCTGCCTTTAAGGTCAACATTGAAGCAGGGGGTAGGCATCCCATGTCTGTGAGGTCCCTGGTCTAAAGAGGCACCTGGCTTGCTCCGTACTCAAAACTGTAGTGATAACTTATATTACAAGAGAGTTAATTATCCCAGGTTTTGGTTTGTTATAGCCCTGAGTTAAAAGGAAAGCATAGCCAGTCTTTTTTTCTTTTTTTTTTCCTCATTGATTACCATGTTTACCTGTGTATCTAAGATGCAGTTTTCTTTCTGTTGTGTAACACTACACTGAATGCATTAAGAATCACAGAATTGCTACTTCATCACTGTGTTCTTTCCATTTCTTAGCATTTGCCAATGCAGAGGGGGAAGCCTTATTGCATTGTTTAAAAACTGGAAGAGTCTGGAGTAAACCTGTTCTTGCTGTGGCTCATTTTCTTGCCAGCCTTGGTAGAATGAACTTCTGCTAACTGCCCAGATAAGGAAAACCCATCACTGCAAGATTGATGGATATGCTAATAAAGAAAAACAGTGTACGAGAAGAATATTTCTCATTCATGCATTTTCCATTAACATGAGGCTATCAAGGTTGCAGAAGAGCTTTGGATGGGAGTCGTTGTCGGGAGTATTGAGGTCTATTACTGAGTTTCCTACTCATTCCTTGTGAGCTGATAAACTCACTTGGCTTAACATTTTGCCCTGTGTATGCACAGTTAGCTTAGACTATGGAGCAGTGATCTGGGTTTTAGAGCTGATACGCATCTGCTGCTACCTTTGAAGAGAGTAGGATTTGGGTATGTTGATAGGTATTCAACATCTCTGAAAATGAAGCCACTCATATGAGTTCTCCAGTTGCTAGGTTTGTGTGCCTGGAGGAAGCTGCACACTTTTGAAAATGCTGACTTTAAAATGTACTTTGGTTTTCGGTCTTGTAAGTAGACAAAATAGATTTCACACCACATGGGGCACCCAGGAACTTAATTAAAGTGAATTAAGTGTTTTTAAATCTTTGCAGAAAAGAAACTGCAAAGTGTGTGCAGAAAATAACAATGGGTATATTCATCAATGAGAACTAGAATTTTGGATTCTAGGTATAAGGAACACTTTCAAGATAAGATATGGGTAAGTTTAGCTCAGCTTTTTGCCATGACATCAGCCTGCCTGGTGATGGTTAATATTATTTTGGTCTTCCTTGACTGGAATTCACTAATTGAACGCTAGATGATCATAATAGCATTGCTAGGGACACCGAACCACAGATTTAACGGAGTAGTATTGATACACTGTGAAATAAGAACTATGAGAAGAAAACGTTTTGGATATAATGCAGAGCATTTCATACAGTTATCTTGAGTTAACCAAATTGCAAACATGTAAAAATGCAAGAGAGGACTAAGGTATTGCATATACTTTTAAATCCTGCCTTCATTGTAGTGTTTGACTGAATTGCATTTTTATTAATGTTTGGAAAAATCTTCTGCATATAAGCAGTGATTGTTCTATGTTGTTCATACTTTAGATTGTGTTTTAACTAATTACTGCTCAGGGCAATGTGAAGCACAAATATAATGTAATGAAGAAAATTTCTTTTCAAAACTTAAAATGCAGCAACTCACACTTAAAAGCAGAATTGGCTCCAAGTTTAAAACACGGAAATCTTTAGCCACTGTATTGTCTTTACTTGGTTCACTGTAAGAACTCTCAGTATAGATGAATTAGATACTTTGGGTAAAAGAATTCATCTCTTCTTTGCCATGTGAGAGTTCCCTGTGCTTTTGGTAGGGACTATGCTGGCTATTAAGTTCTTGAACTTTTATTAAGGGCTTCTGTTCATGCTACTTTCCATTTTAAACATGTAAAAAACAAATTATTTTTTTTTAACATTCCTATATAGCAGTGCTGCTCCTTCTCCAGAAACAGTAGCTTCTCGGATTGTTTGGCTGAAAAAGTAATGTTAAGGATAGTTGCAGCTGCCAAAGTCTGGAAACTCAGAGTTATATCTGACATTTCATTCTTCACCTTAACTATTGAGCCTTGCCCATTCATTGGTTTTTCACAGTGCTTTGGAGTTAGAAGGGAGTTTTACAGATGAAAGATGAAAATCAAAATAAACTCCTTTATCAAGTAAACCTTGCAAGGGCATTCTGAGTTTTACAATACACAGGGAGTTGATTGTGATATAACATACAACACAAGAGGGCTGGAATAAACAATTTATTCTCTATCGTTAGGGATGACCATGCATAACTGACTTATGGCTCTGGTTTGCTCTGCCACTTGTTATGTGTGCAGTCATCCCTAACTCATATCAAAAATAGTTTATCATACTCCTGTGTTGCATAGTTTTTATCAAATGTTCTCTCATTAAAAACTTTGCTTGGGAGATTGAACGTTTCAAGACTCTGGCAGCACCTATGAAAGCTTCCCCCAGAGCTTGGTCTCAGCGAGCGAAGTCTGTGCCGACAGTGATAATGAGACAGTTCCTCGGATTCTGCACAGACACAGTCAAGTGGGCAGGCACCAGCCACCATTTGACGGTACACAGCAGGTTCAGTGCAGAGGTCAAAGGCTGGTCTGTCAGAAAGACTAGGGGGCTACCTGGGCTCCTCCCGAGTCAGGAGCAAAAGCAGTGAGGTAGGACAGTGCGGGGCTATGTCACTGCCCCTGTGGTGTAGCTCCTGCCCCTGCAATGAGGGTTTTATTTCCTTTGCTGTCAGTTCAAAACCTTCCGTGAGCCCTAAATCCATCTGCTGCATAATTCCCTGGCCATCCTTGTGACAGATGTATCTGCAGTCTGTAGTTGTCTTTAGGATAGCTGTTTGAAAGATTTTGTTCCTAAGCATCGTGTGGATCAAGCCTTCAGCTGCGTGTCTTCTTCTTGAAGGAGGTTCCTTTTGGGTGATGCATGCCTACGGCACTACCTGGTTCATTTTGCCTGATCTTCTCAAGAGAGGATGCAGCCCTGGTAAAATGTGAATTGATGGGTCCCCAACACTCATTCTAGGCAATAGCTGGAGCTAAGTCACTGATGTGCCGCAGTGGTGAAACACTTGCTGCCGGAGTGCACTGCTGAGATTGGAGCTCCTGGGAGGCAGTTTGACCTCAACACATGGAGTTGTGGTGATGGGCTTTGGTTTGTGGAGTTCTGTACCTTTCTTGGCCAGGAGTATTTGCTGCAGACTGGCACACTGGTTGCTACAGTGATGTTGGCATGCCTGGAAAAATCTTGGTGTTTGGCAAGGATGCTTTCCATCAAATGTGTGGTCCCCCCACGCAGTCATGTGTGTTGGTGCATTTTTTCCCAGGCTGTATCACCTTCCTACTTCACAGGAACATTTTGAGCATAGACCTTTGTTTCAGTGTTATCACACCCAAGCTTGGTATAACTGATGGAAGTTCAATTATATGCGAAGTGACTATTACAGCATCAGGGCTCATCTGGGGGTCTGGGCCTCCCCTCCCCTTTTCACTTGCAATTGTGCTAAATCCCTTAATGTTGTGAAGAAATCGTACATTCATCAGGTGGAGCATTGGAGGCCAGGGTGCAGATAACTGCTTTTACTGCATATGAGACATTGCAGTCCTGTTCTTAAGAACTGCCAGGCAGATTGGGAATCACGGTCACGGTTAATAGCAGCGAATTGCCAGCTCTTGATGGGTGGGTAGTCACTCCTTTCAGTGGTTACCCCCTGGGGGAGAAGGTAGAAAAACAGAGGGAGGGAATTAGAGTGACTTTGCACAGTTGAGCAGGTTCATGCCGCTGGATCAGTGGCAAGCATTGGCAGGGCTCCACTCTGGGGAGGCTCACAACAACATCACAGTCTCATTTTTACCAATTGGTGTTGCTATAGCCAGTGGTGCACAGGGGGAGAGCAAGGAGAAGGGGGGCAGCCGGGGGGGAGAGCGAAAGCAAGAGCCTGGACTAAATTAAACAAACAAAAGTGCTTGTAAGTACCATTTAACCCATAACCATTAGCCCAGTGCTGCTAATTGTACTAAACTATATATCTGAAGTTCAGTGTGTGATTAAAGAGTTGGCTCACAAACTCTCTGCATAACCTTAATTTTTTCAAGGTTCTTTGAGTGTAGAATGGCTTATAATAATGATTTTGACTAATACGATTTTTGACATGCAACTTTAATGCTTAACCTTAGTACAACTCCAGAGCATTTCATGTGTATTCAGCTGTAAAGAGTGATGATTTAAGGGGATAATATAAGAAAAAGGTCGTTCTAGAATGAACCTCTAACAAATTGCATAAAGGAAGCTTATTATTCTATGAGTAGAGAGATATGCAGCTTTTCTGATCATTTTTCTGCTTGGTTCAAAAAATTGTTGAGACATGATTGGGGAAAGAAACACAAAAAATGAAATAGAAAACTGCAAGCAGTGAACATTCTTTTGATGGTTATGATTTTGTTGCCACTAAAAATACTCCTCAGTAATGTGGTTGTTCATCTTTCCTCTTGTTTTGGGTGAAGAATTCGTTCCAATAAGAAAATGCTGTTACTGGTTGGAGGATTGCCTCCCGGACCTGACCGGCTACCCAGCAATTTGGTTCAGTATTATGATGATGAAAAGAAGACGTGGAAAATACTGACAAGTAAGTGGTTTATTTTTGTACAGTTGTCTTGATGAATTTAAAAACATGGTTAATCAAATTAGACACTTTATTGATTTGTTTCTCTTCAGAGATTTGTTTATGTATCACAAGGGGCTTCACAATGGAGCAATAAATTGAGATTGCAGAAGATGCTAATTTTATAATAGGATAGGCCTAAATTAACATTGGCTTAAAATCATTCCAGTAAGTTTTTTAAGTAAACTTGCAAGTCTTTCATACTGCTACATGAATACATGCATATTTATGTACATATGCATAAAAACTGGCTTAGGAAAAAAAAAGCAATGTTGGAGACAGTTTTCTCACAGTCAGATCCCTGGTAAGCCATAGCACTAGAGTACACCTTTGATTCTCTTGTACATTTTCATTTCCTTCTTCCAGCTTTATCTGTTGTCCACAATCACTAAAGAAAGGTTTCCTCTGTACTGCTCTGCATCCATTGCTGACAGAAGCACTGTGGAATATACCAGCTACAATAAACAGTGCACGGAGGCTCCTATCACAAAATTCTTTCCTACCTTGTTTTAAAGGTTGATTGTGTTTTAGAGTAAGTATTTTGCCTCGAGCATCGAGGTTTGGAACTTATTGTTATGTTGGTTGCGATTCCCAGTATGACTTGGTTATGGAATCAAATCATAGCTTCTTGAGTGCAGCAGGCTGTGTGTGCATTAGTCCCCTTGTGGCTAAACTGGCTGCATTGGTCAATAAAACTAAATTTTAACTGTCAAAATTGCCCAAAGCAGTATAGATAAAATAATAAACGAGCAATTTTGATCCATAAATCAAAGCCATACTTCTGAAACTGGACAACTGGTAAAACCTGGATTTCCTAATAGACCCGTGGTTTTTTTTCCCCAGTGAAACACATTTTACAGAATTCTGTTCTTCATCTCTTATCCAAAGCTCTTTAATGAGATACATATACATTAATATTATATGCACAGGTTCAATTCAAAGAGAATTAAAAACACTGCTGTGATGCAGGACTTGAAGTGATGCCTTTGCAAATTGCTTTTTCCCATGGAAAATTCAGGCACCTTTCTCGAAGTGCTGCAACATAAAGACTGGTTAAGTGTACACACCCTGGGCTAATAGCTGGGAGTATTGCATAAGAATGGCAATTACGAAAGGTTCTGTGTACAAGAAAAAGGTCTACAGCATTTGTACTTGTGAATGTACTATGCTTCACATTTTTCAGAATAATGAGATATGATACTCACCTCTTTATTCTACTTCTAAGAAAATTCTGAAGATGGTAAGTCAGTGAAAAATGAGCAATATTTTGTAAGGCAGAATTATTCACATTTTTTGAATTTGTCATGACTAATCCAGTGGCTTATCAGGAGAGGCAGGAGAAGAGGATCTCTTGCTTCAAAAACTGTACTCTCCACTGAATTAAAGTGAAAAACTTTATTCTGAATCTTAGCTATCTGTAGAGATCTCAGATTGTGTAAGAACAAAATTTACTCAGTTATCGATTGCTTGTATTGTGATGCTGTCTCCAAGACTGTGGCAAACTGGACCCAGAGGCATGATATTTAAATGCTCTGGTTAAAAGTCTGTCCCTAGTATTTGAATAATACCATCTATCATGCTGTTGAGAGATGTTTCTGAATAATGTTATGTAATTTTATCAAAAAAATATAATCTTTTCGGTGTTGCCGCTAACAAATAGTAAACAGAAATTCTTTTTTTATTCTGGTTAGTGCATGTAACCCTCTCTGCTGTAGTTGAAAGGTAACACATCTGTTACAGTCCTAGCTAGCTCATACTCAAATTCACTCCCCTCCCCCCTGACATGAGTAATCCTGTTCTCACAAAACCTGCTAGAAAAGGATGCCCTCTTGGCCTGGACCACTGTTGAAGGAACACCGAGCAGAATGCTTGTCTTTTCATGCTGAAAAAGGCTGGTTGTTAACAAGCGTGATTTCTCAGCAAATATCGTTACTACTCACCAAATGATAGCAATAATATTTTTTTTAAAGTTGAAATAAGGGTTTCAAGTTTTCCCTGCTTTATTTTCTAGCTTAATATAAGAGAGGATAGGAAGTGGAAACAAGTTGGAGTAGAACTTTTTGTCCTGTCCTTTCTATAAAACACTAAAGTGCTGTACAGCGTAGGAGCATGAAGACTTGGAAGAGCTGTGACTGAGCAGTTTTAGGGAAGACCGCAAGCTAACCACCTTATAACGTGGTGATAGTTCAGTGCAGTCATGGTGGTGTATCAATGTACTATGACATTTAAGGTGTGTGGGAATGTAAGGACATTGTACTATCTTTATTTTTCATGTACTTTCTACAATGTAAGAAGAAGTACATTTATTTCCCTCCTGTACCCTTTTACTTCTCTCTCAGTCCACTGTTTTGGAAAATAATTGGCCTTTTTATTCTTACTAGAGATGTAGAATCAGCAGTGAAGGAGGAAGATTTTCTTTTCTGTTTTGTTTTCACTTGTTTAGCCAGTGTTGTCAGTCCTGTGGGTGCAGTTCACCCCCGATTCGTCAATGCAAATGAAGAGTTTGCTCAATAGTGAACAGGGACAGAACAAAGTCCATGTTCTGCTCATGAGGTTCTGTGATGGGAAGAATCTAGTCTGGTATTTGAGGGTGTCCTGTCTTGTTGCTTTAGGCATATTTGATTTCCTCCTGTACTAGCAAACGTTTACAAAATCTTTTCTTTAACCTTCTGCCCTCTGATAGACTCCCCCACACATCAAGAAAATCCAAGTTTTGCACTTAGAAACTACTGATCCAGTATAAATGTGCAGAGAAATTCACCTTTCCCTCCTCCAAACCCACGTACAATACTCATTTTCTGCTTTCAGTACTAGTGGCATTTGAGGGTAGGAAAGGTGGGAAAGAAGCTTGTGAACGGTCCTGGGTGCAGTGGCAGGGCCATTGAGAAGGAGATGGCTGAGAGGAGATCAAACCTTCTCCTCTTTTCACCCTCCACTGAGAGGAACCTCAGGAGTTACTCAGCAGGGCCTGCAGTCTCCCTGGAGAGGGAGCCACTTGCCTGTTGCCTTTTTCCTTCTCAGCCTGAAGGATGGCTGTTGCAGGCACTCAGTTGCTTGGGGCCCTGTGTCCTGCCTTGTGTGAGGAACAGGAGAAGATCAACCACCAGAAACCACTGACTCCATGTAGGCCATGGTGCTGCAGTTGGAACTATGAAGATGGTTGCAGGTGGAACAGCACAAGCTGTTGAGTATGACAGCTCAGCAGAGTAGCAATCTCATTTTGTTCCCGCGACGAGTCTAGGTCTATTGGCAGGGAATAGTGCCCACCTCTCTCTGCCTGGCTACCCAAAGCACCAAATGCATCAGTACTAATGGGAATAATTCTAAAGGTATCAGGAAAGCAACTCGCCTTGTTCACAGATCCAGAAGAGGAGGAGAAGCATGCACCCATTTCCAAATTCTAATGTCATCATCTATAGGCAAGAATGCTATGGCTCAAGGCATCAGTAGATTCTTCACAGTCTAGTATTACTGTGTATTTTTCCTATCTGGTGTTACTTGGAGAGTTATTTCCTCTATGTTGGCAATAAAGAATAGAGACAGAATAAAGGAAGGGGGGAAAAAAAGTGAAGGTAAGTGGCATTTTACAAACATTTTCTGCCACCTTATTTTGTTTGGTAGGGGCACAATCCTAATCTGAGGTTCACAATATGCATGTTGCTGTTTAATTTGAAACACTACTTATTGTGCAGCTGTGCCCAAGCAAAGTAGAGGCTTTTATAGGCTGTGTGGCAAAGTCTAGCAAACATCTTCACTGCATGGTTTCTTTTTGGGCTTGCCTACATGTGCACGAACACCAGTTCATTTTTTAACTGGGTACTACCTGTGTCACGTAGCAGCAACAGGCTACCACTGCCCAGTGACACAAACCGAATAGCTGAAGAGTGCTTGACAGTCCCTAGTAACAGCAGAAATTCTGCTTATTAATGGAGTTTCATTATTCTGTGATGTTTTGCAGTCTCCATAACTACTTACTGGATGATGGACATTGGGGGGGTCTCAGTGTCACCACCTCATGCCTCACTGCTCAAAAGCAGCCACTGCTTCAGTTTTAATTACCATCTATGGTCCTGCAAGGAGTCCTTGTTTAATCCTAGAACTCCTTTGGTTGGTTGTTTTAACTGCAACATTTAAGATTAATTAAACTTTAAGGAAGTGAAACATTTTTTTGTTTGTTAGGATTATTCTGTAAAAATTATAGGTTTCAAAATCCAGAGCCTATAAAGATTTTGTGTGTTCAGAATTGTATAGCTCTCCCAAAAACCCTACTGCTAAGGCAATGATGTATTACTTTCACTTTCATTATATGTTTTTAATCAGAGCGTGACTTCACACTAGACAAAGCGATGCTTTATGCATGGTCTCCCTTGTTTTTTGCTAAAATCTTTTGACATGATTAATTTTACTTTAATGCTTTTGTCTTGTTGTAATGGTAAAGATGATCGGTATAAACCAGGGCAAAAAATACATGCTTTTCTGTCATAATGCCTCTAAGCATTTAAAAGATATATTAAATGAAAGGAAAAAAATATCACTGAGACTGATCCAACTGGAATTAAATTTCTTGCTACGTGAACAGAGAATGCAAGAAATAAATAAAAATGATGCAGTCATTGTTTTAAGTTGGGGTTTTTTTGTATTTTTTCCATAGCAATGTATCCATCTGTCTGATTAGAAGCAATGAATAGGAGAGAAATTGTGTCTTACAGTTTTCTAGGTATACAGCGAATCCTCCTTTCAATGCAAAAATTCTTCTTTTTTTCTAAAGCACAAAAGGGTAAAATATTGGAAGCATTACTGAACTCTTACATGGCACGTTCCATCCATGTGAAGCTGCAACTGCAGCAGTTCTTTCTTTCATATTGGTACTTTTTTTTCATTAAGATGCTAAGTGTAAAATTCCTTAACCTTCCTAGCTAACTACATCATCTGCGTAAACCATCGAGAAAGTCCCGTGAGTGTCA